AAATGTCATCTACTCGTGGTCGAAAAATTCGTTGCCTTCTCAAACAACGTCTTTCGGCTCTTTCTAACTCTTCGATAGCGATAAGAATTGCGTATCCGTCAGCCATTTTTACTTTCGTGTAGCGATCTCACATGCTCGACTCAACGTGAGTAGCAACTCGCATGGTGAGATGGGAAAGCACGTGAGTTAGAACTCGAGACTACCAATTTGACGTCAGTGTGTGAGATGGTACCACGTGACACCTTCAACACGTTGGGAGTTGTAACACGAAAAACTCGAGACTAAGGCCCCAGGTGTTTTGAAGCAGGGAAGAAACCCATCCCCTTCTGAGGAAGCTGCACAATGGAGTCTTAAACATATCAAACAATCTTGATATGGTTATGGATGACAAATCCTATTTCACTATAAGGACTAGATGCACACCCTAAAGTCAAATTCAAATGACACTCCCCAAGTTTTCACCAAAGCTTCTGATGTGGCTTGTGGCTTGCAATCAGTCTAAAGGGCTGTCCCATTACGGCTCTCCATTAACTGTCCCATTACGGCTCTCCATCATCAAGAAGCTTATGGCAACAAATGCATTCACAGAATAGGCTAGTACCATTTCTAAAGAAATACTACCCTGACCACTACCCATTATGCTCATGATACAGTTGCCAATGAAAGAAATAATTTTTCATGCCAGATTCTTATTAGATAAAAGTTTAAGAGCACTGTCTATTGGCATTAATGAGGTTTTGATAAGTAAAACACAAAATAAAACAAAATATTTCACAAGCACTTTCAACATGTATAAAATATCTTCTTCAGGGGAACAAAAACAAATTTTAAAATGTTGATATGAATTTTAACATTAATGTTAATATGTTCTAACTAGCAGATGGGCCTGGCATTGCTCGGGCAAAAGTAACGATAACTAAGATAAAGATGATTACGTTACAGTAAACCTTACCCGTTTTCACAGAATGCAAGAATTGGGTCCCCTTGTTTCCAGACTAATTAGGGAATTTTTAGATGGGTCTAAAAATATGTTCGATTTCCTGCAAAAACGAAAAAAAACTGCATCTGCGTCTTGCATGTCGCTTTCTCTTAACAATTCCATTGTTACGTAACACTTTCATTGTTGACACTTCCATTGTTAGTTAAAACTTTTATTGTTACTTAAAACTTCCATTGTTACTTAACACTTCCATTGTTACTTAGCACTTCCATTGTTACCTAACACCGCCATTGTTACTTAACACTTCCATTGTTGATGGAAGTGTTAAGCCTTAATCCTGTCTTTCTCCCCCCGGGAGGAATTTCGAAAAATCCCTTCTTAGTGTGCGTTTTCGTGACGTACCCTATCTGTGTACCAAATTTCAGCTTCCAACTCCTAACCGTTTGGGCTCTGCACTTATTATTATTATCATTATCAACCCATCTCGATTATATTATAGATTGGAGTGCATGTGTTAAATTTAAATGGTGCTCTATTAAACTTACACATTTAATTAACATCAAACTATAACTGAAAATTATTGTCAACTGTGATTTAACGTTTTAAATTATTAAATAGTGAAACCAATATTTTTGGGAGCTCTAGAGTGGATCTATTACACAGCTCTAACTTCTCAATTAATAAAGTTTCCCAAATGTTCCCAATTTATAAATTGGGAATAAACATTTGGGGAATGCTATTAATAAATTTAAAACATTTATAAATTTTTTTCATTCAACACATTCAATGTATTATTGTATAATTCTATGCCTATCAGCATAGCATTTTCAAATAGTGTATAAGATGTTGTTGCAATTAAATTATTTTCGAAAAGTAAACTATCATAATACACTAATCCATCTTTTAGCCTCTGCTTTGAACCATCACTGTATAAAGAGTTATCAACAGTTTTTTCATCACAACATGAAGAACTTGCTTCTCTTGATGACATTTTTTAATTATAAAATAATTTTTCAAAATAAATTTCACTGCACAAATATGTCTATTCGTGTCGAAATTCACAAACGAACTGTTAAAGAGTGAGTGAAAAAGAACTCCTATAGAAAAAACACTCCTAGTGAGAATTAGGTGGTCACTGTTGGTGATAACAATCAGATGGGAAAGTTGTGGTGTCAAGAATGCACCGTTATTGTCAACAAAGGTAAAAATATTAGACTTGGAATAGTAGAAATTAAATTAAAATAAATGAATGAGTAAATAAATAAATACATTATAAATATTTATGAATAAAAAAAAAGTATAAACAAGAGAATCGAACCCAAGCATTCAAGTGTACGAGTCAGGATCGTTACCACTCAGCCACAGGACACTCAAAAGAAAGCATGCATAACTTATATATAAAGTGCTAAAGAAAACTTTAAGTTTGTTTTTCTCGATTATATTTGAGTATTGCACTTTAGTATTTTACAGGTAGTACACTCACATGGTGTACTATCTCTACACCAAAGATCATCAAAATCCGTTTCCCCAAAGCCATAGGGTCTCCTTGTGAGAAAAACAATTCCTATTCTGAATGATGATAACAGCATCACTTCTTTTATAGTGTAGTTTTATTTTACCTTTTAAAATAAACAAATTTTTTAAATTAAAATGTTTTTACACACAATTACAAATTAAGTGAACACATACTAAATTATTTAGAACTGTAGAAGTGCATACAGAAAACTTTCAGATTGACTTAAACATAAGGAAACCTTTAAAACAGAAGGCCTGACACCCTGCATTAAACCCTGTTCACACAGAGCATTTTGATCTAGATTGTGACCAAGGTCGGGGACTATGCCGTGGTGTGACCTCTATCAACTGAAATGAGGTTCAATCGCAATCAACTCAAGAGAGTTCTTGAAACTAGATTCAGTCATAAGAGAGATCCCACACGCACAAGAAAATACAAGATGGCTGTGGAACACATGTTGGGCTATCAACAGAGAAATAAAAACGACAACTACAGAGACGATGACATCTGTTTATTATTAGATATATAGCAAGAAAAAGTATTTATTTCTAACCAAAACTCCCACTTTGTTCGTTGGTGTTCGTGACTAACCGCATAGTTATGTCAGTTTTATCATTGCGCGTAATAGCCGGGTTCTTCTCAAGAGGACTTCGTGTGTGAACAGCACGATGTTCGACTGGCTACAGTCACAATCGAGATTGTAGGTAAATTGAAATCGAAGTGAGTAGTGGATTGTGTGCAAACGGGGTATTAGAAGAGTTACTAAAAACAAAGCATTATTTAGAACTAGAAAGATATAGCTCTGGTACTATTCTACTCGGGGAAACTCTTCTTCTACATTGCAGAAAATTAAATTGTAGCCTTGAATGAAAAATGCATTCAACAAGAAAGTTGAAGTCAGATGGACCCAGAGGCACAGTCTCTAACAATCAATTAAAGGCAGTCACCAATCATTATTCTGCCTGTTATTTTAATTAAATTTAGTCTGATTTCATTTCATTCGGCTTAACATGATGACCTGTTTAGCAATATTCTTTTAATATTTCACTTATTGGCATACTTTTGAACGTGTCACATGTTTAGAATGTAACACGAGTAACTTTATTAATAGATTCTTTTTTCAAAGATTTTATTCAAATGAATCTGAAAATGAAATGTAAATATACTTTGAAAAAACATTTAATCACTTAATAGACTACTTTAAAATTGTTAGCATTAGTGTTTAATACATGTTGATTATCATATTATTGATATAACTAAACATGACTTAAAAAAACTACAATGCAGATGCATAATTTTAGAGCTGTGCTCAGGCATATCACAAATTAACTAATCAATTGCTATAATACAGTTAAAGTATTAAAGTGATTGTTAAGCATCTCATGAAGTTATAACATCAAACAGAGAATAAACTTGCTGTTTGGAAAATTTTTGATGTAACTGACATTAAAAAAACAGCATGTGCAGATTGTGCACTTTGATTGGTGCACAATCAATATATTAGCATTCTTCCCACTGAAAATGTAAACATAGTGAAGGTCTTCTTGAG